ATATTTTATATAGTAATAGTACATGGTAGTATATAAAGCGCTTAATCGTTCAGAGTAAAACTGAAAGTTTAAAAGAGCCAGTACCTAACTAAGAACGAGAAGATCCGGTATTACTTCGAGTTCTATTTATGCAGTTGCATTTAAACACACAATAGGACGATTGTTCTCAAGTAAAAATCTATAACAAAGCATGGCAAGGTCGTTTATATAAATTCTCTGTCATCGGAATGTACCTGATCGAGCATACGAATTAGTCGCACGCTACCACTCTTAATCTTAGTGTTATTATTACATTTCGTATTTTCCTATTCGCGTAAGGAATTTTATCTCGACGAAAGAAAAACAAGATTGGAATTGCTCGGCTATCAGATTCTTAGGAAACTATAGTGACTCGTATGCGAGCAGTGTAGTCTGATACACTTTGAAACACGCGATATTCTTGTCAGGCACTTACGTTTTCGGGGACGATCGAGCGGTTATGCAGAGGAGCGACGTTCAACCACGAAGAAGTTTCAAGCACGTCGGACTTTTCAAAGTAAGGTACTTGGCCGATAATTCTCTCAAGGGACGGTGTTCGCACTCGCCGTATCAGCTCTCTCTCTCTCTCTCTCTCTCTCTCTCTCTCTCTCTCTCTCTCTCTCTCTCTCTCTCTCTCTATCTCTCTCTTGTCACTTTCTTTCCAGCCATACTGCCGGCCATTTTTAAGAATTAATTATGCTCATCGATAGTTTTCAAACGAAGGAAGAAACGAAGCGGAATACGGGAAATAAAATTAAAAAAGAAAAAAAAAATAATAAATAAATAAAAATAATAAATAAATAAAAATAATAAAAACAAAAGAAAGAAAAGAAGAAAGGAAGGAATCAAAAAAAAAAAGAATAGAAAAAAAAAAGAAAAAAGGAAAAAGGATAAAGAATGTTATGGAACAAGAGACGTACATTTTCGAACTAAAATCCTACTCATGACGAGATTTCCTAGCCACGGATTTCAATGCCGCGCAATTTCACAATTTCCACGCATTCCGAATATTCCACGTTCCTCGTGTAATTATCTCGTCGTAATTACTCACCGAGCTGCTTCATACGTATTCGCGCAAGCGCAAGGGCGCAGAGATGCGAGCTAACGTCCACGCATTTGCGTAATAGTCTATCCAGCAACTGCGCATGGCGTTTCGTGTGTTGGCGCGTTCGAGCTTACCCAGGACAAAACGATGGGGATGCAAATTTATGGGAGACACGGTTCGCTCGTCCGCGACACAGACGGCGAGATCGATCTTGTGCCCACGAAAAAAGATTTCCCTTGTCCTTTCTTCCCTACCGAATATAAACGTGCTTCCCTTTAACTTCCACTCTCATTTCTCATCGCTATGAAAGAATTTCTTAAGGCGTGTTATTTTACCTATACACGTAAAGAATGATCTTTCTCTTCTCTTTTCTTTCCCCCCATTTTCTTTCTCTTCTTTTTGTTTCTTTTTTTTTCTTTTTTTTTTTTTTTTTTTCTTTCTTTTTGCAATTTGAATTTTGTAAACCGGCTACGAATTAAAGGGCAAATTGAAGCTCGTAGCATCGAGAGAGCGAGAGATCGATTACTAGTTTCTTCCTTCCAATTCCCTTTATACCGGCATCTATCATTCCAACGCAATTGCGACAAAAAAAAAAAGAAAAAAAAAAGAAAAAAAAAGAAGAAAAAAAAAGAAGAAAAAAACAGGGGAAAAAAGGAAAATTAAATCACAAACGGCGTGGCAATAGGAATGGCAACTTCGAGGATGGAGAAGAATGACAAAAAAAAAAAAAAAAAAAAAAAAAAAAAAAGAAAGAAAAAAGAGCTGGACGTAAAGAAGCGCTCGTTAAAAGTTTAGTCTCTCTCGTAAACCTGTCATCTGGTCGTGTTACTCCGAGCTAATGTCGTCGGTCGTAGGGAAAGATGATTTCTCTCTATCTCTCTTAATGTTTTCCTTTTTCTTCTTTTTTTTTTTTCTCTCTCTTTCTCTCTCTCTTTTTTCACTTATCCATTAATGAAAGAAAAAAAGAAGCTCGCATCGATGATAATCTCCTCGATGGTTAATAAAATAAATAGAGATATGACCGGCTAAATTAGCGGCAATGAAAAATTTTCAAATAACATCACTGGTTTAAACATTTCGGAGAGTTTAAATAATAGTACTGTATCTCTCAACGCACAAATGTTTCAGGAATTAGGTATAACAATCTAAAAGCATCCGCTTATGTCAACGGTTGGCAGAAAGCACGTAGAGAAGTAGAAAAAAATATACTAGCTGTCCGGCGATATTAAAAGCGTGCCACGCTCGGGATGTTTTCCCCTCCCCTCTATTCTACAACGTTACTGTTACGGAACTTTACGTGTATTCACGTGTCGCATGAGCCACGAATAAAATTAATTGCTTCGTGCAAAGAGTAGGTTTGCAATTCTTCCCGCCCGCGTTTTATCTCGTTTACGCTAATTAGTGTCAATTATCAGACAATAGTCGTCTTATATTAAAACAACGAGATCGAAGAGAATAAAAAAATATATTACGGAAATTGAACGTAAGAATAAAGATCTTTATTTTAAGGTCAAACATGCTAGAAGTGAAAATGTTCGAAGGGCCTCCAAGAAAAATATTTTATCTGATAAGGTAGGAAATTCGAATGGTCGGTAGCGCGTTGTTAACCCATTTCCGAACATTGCCAACGGCGGCTCTTGCCACGCCCAGAAAGCGAATTTTCTCAGGCATTTTTCGTCGCACATATCTGACAACGTCGTTGTCGTCGTCGTCGTCGTCGTCGTCGTCGTCGTCGTCGTCGTCGTTGTCGTCGTCGTTGGTAGATGCCTAACGTACCAAAGGAATCTAACCTAGAGTTCGTACGTTCGTATACGTTATCAACATAAAGAAAACACGTTGGTATTTGAGAAAAGCGATCCGGTCACGGATACACGTAGACTCGTATAGTGTAGGTAAGGAGAAAAGGATGAAGGTGCTTGGGCGAACGACTGTCAGGGTAAAAGACAGGAGGAGAAGATAGGGTGGGGGGCCGGGGATGGAAATGGGAAATATGGAATCTGGTGTGCGGCTATACCGGCTCTCGAGTACCAGGCAGATTATGATTGCGTCCACTGCTCCGTACCAGTGGTTCTCCACTAGCGACCACTTGAGATTATAATTCGATAAAGAAAATCAAAATATAGAATGGATATATTATTTTTCTTTTTTATTTTTATCCTTATGTTATACGATCAATCGATCGAATAGTTGATTTAAATGAACGGATATATCAAGAAATGAAACAAGTTCTATTACGTCGTCAAAGTTCCAAGATACTCTCTTCGGTCTTTTCAGTTTATGCCTAGGGCAACAGCCACGGGACGTTCGTATCGTATTCGCTCTATGGAATATTCTGGGTAATGCTCTCACGTTTATATCCGCGACACGAGTTCTCT